TGTTTTCGCCTTCCTGATAACTCCCCTGCATTCTCAGTCAATATATTTATACTCTTCCCTAGTCATCTGTCCAAGTTTCCACTCTTTGTAAGCTTCCTTTTTGTGTTTAAGCTCACCAAGGATTTCGCTGGTAAGCCATACCATTATTTGCTTTTCTTACTGCGAATCAGGATGCTTTCTTCCTGTGCCTTTAATAAGGCTTCTTTAAAATACTGCCAGCTCTCCTGGACTCCTTTCCCCTTCATGTAAGCATCCCAGGGAATCCTGGCTATCAGTTCTCTGAGGGAGTCAAAGTCTGCTTTTCTGAAGTCCAGGGTGTGTATTTAGCTACTCTTTCTTCCCTTGGTCAGGATCCTGAAATCTACCATCTCATGATCACTGCTTCCCAGGTTGTCACCCACCTCTACTTCCCCTCCCAGTTTCTCCCTGTTTGTGAGCAGCTGGTCAAGCTGCGCATGGCCCCTGGTCAGTTCCTCAGCACTTGTACCAAGTTGTTCTCAACATTCTCCAAAAATTTCCTAGATTGTCTGTGTCCTGCTGTATTGGTCTCCCAACAGACATCAGGGTGATTAAAGTCCCCCATGAGAACGAGGGACTGCCCTCTGGAAGTGTGTCTCAGTTGTCTAAAGAAAGCTTCATCTACCTCATCCACCTGATCCAGTGGTCTATAGCAGACACCAACCACTTCACCACCCGTTGCTTCCACCTCTAAACTTAACCCATAGACTCTCAACAGGCTTTTCTCCCTCTACATACTGAAGCTTTGAGCAATCATACTGCTCTCTTACATAGGGTACGTCTAGACTACAGGCTTTTGTCGACAGAAGTTTTGTCGACAGATACTGTCGACAAAACTTCTGTCGACAAAGAGCGTCTACACTACATTCAGTTCTGTCGACAAAGCAAGCTGCTTTGTCGACATGGTAGTGTAGACGCAAAGGACAGTTTACATGCAATAACACCTTCTGTCGACAGAACTCTGTTGACAGAAGGCATTATGCCTAGTAAAATGAGGTTTACCAGCGACGACAAAACTGTACATAACGTCGACAGAACTCCAGTGCAATTCCTCTTCTTCCTCACCTGTTCTTCCTGAACAGTTTATACCCTTCCATGATAGTGCTCCAGTCATGCAAGTCACCCCACCACGTCATCGTCATTCCAATCAGATCATAGTCATAGGCGTGCACAGCACATTTCATTAGGGTGTGCACCTAAATAATTTTTTTAATATGTACTGACCCCCATTAGCCACACCCCTGACTCGCATTAACCACGCCTCTGGAGGTAACACTCTCAGGGCAATATGGACACATGACCAGAAGTAAAAGATGTCATGTGACCTCCCCCCTCAGGACTTTTCCCACCATCCTCCTACCAATAGAAATTAGTTTGGCCCCCACCCTCCTCTGCTGTCCTGACTCCTGCCCTTCTTACTGCCCTCAGCCTTCCTGAGACCTGCCCCCCTCCACCAGCCCTTCTCTCCCCCATGCCCACTTCTCCAGTAGCCCCGCTCTGATGTGAGCTACCCCTCCTCATCCCCTTTCCTAACACCTCCCTCTACATACCTGCCCCCCCCCTCCTCTGATGCTGGCTCCTCCCCTGCAGGTGTCTGCACTTCTGCTTCACCCCCAGAATCCCCTTATTCCTGTACCCTCCTGGAGCCCCCCCACCCCTCTCTGGAGTTCCCCCCTCCTTGGGGGTGATCCCCAGGGGCTGGCTGATGGGTTCTGTGGATTCCATGAGTAAGTCCCGCTTCTGGGGCCACTGAGATACAGGACCCTTGGATACCCAGTCTTGGATACAGGACCCACATCAGAGGCTCTGCTTCCAGCCCCCCATAGAGTCCCAGATACAGGACCTGCACACAGGGCTCTGCTCCCGCGCAGGCAGCACCATGGCTGCGCTCCCAGCCCCAAGCTTCCCCTAATTCCCTTTCTTGAGCCTCCTGAACCCCCAACGCCCTTACCCGGCCAAATTCTCCACAGGTCCCCAACCTTTGTTCTGACTCCTGTGCTCCCCATAACTTTATCCCTATCCCCAAACTCCCAGCTCCCACCCTAAGCTACCCCCACTTAAATTTTACAGGTATTGGCCTATCCTAACCCCTTGAAGCACCTGCCAGGAGGAACTTCTAGGGGGATTACGATAGCATAGTTACTTTTTCTTTGCTCTACTTCCCAGCCTCCACATGGGCAGGCTCCAGGACTCATGCAAGGGTTCTGTTCCCACCAGCAGCTATGGTCCTAGCCTCAGCTTCCTTAACCCAGTCCATATCTCTAAGCCACAGCCCAGTGCTGACCCAGAGGAGGGCACGGACGAGCTAAGGGAGGTGAAGTAAAAAGCACCCCCACTCTAAAAACTGTTCCAGCACCACTGATCTACAGGGACCTGCCAGTGCAGACTTTTTACAACCCCCTACAGAGTAATAGCCAGCCCCAGGCTGCTTTCACGCTCAGGCAGGCAACCTGTGCCCTGCAGCCATGGTGAGTGGCACTAGGCCTGTAGGCCCCCACACCAGTCTCCAGTGTGCTGTAGGTGCTATCTGCACAGAGAAAAGAGAGGAATTGCAGAGGCACACGCTGAAGCTTCCCTTCTCCGTGAGAGGGGCAGGGGGTGTTTAGAAGTCCCATTAAGAAGCACAGTCAGCCTTCCCTCCTCTGTGATGCACATGCTGGGACTCTTGGCCAATGGGAAAGGACCACTGTTGCATGGGTGCTGGTTGGTGAGCATCTCTGCAGGATCAGCTGGTCCTGCTCTGGCAGCAGCCCTGCAGCCCCCACCTGGCCGGGAAGCTGAGGCAGGATCCTCAGGCCACAC